ATATATAAGCACAATATTGTTTTTATTTCATCTTTAAATTGCCGCCTATAAAGAACTCAGGTAATCAGTTAATTTATAAAGATTAGTAGGAAATCTCCTTAATTTCAGATCCCTTCCTGTTTTCATAAATAAAATACTGATTTTAATCTGACAGTACCACATAAAGACCTTGGTTTATATATGTAATTGTGTATGTAAAAGCATACACTCCTAAAGAGAAAATAAAAGGGTGATTTGATCAGTGGGATTATTTACATTAAAGCAAATCTGAAGCTAACATTTTATATACAGTATACGGCGACAAACTTGTCTGGTTTGTTGTTTAACCTGGCTGCCATAAGGTCCATGTCTGGCATCCCCTACCTGCAACAAAGGGCTCAAACCACCACCAAGGTAAAAGGATTATTCTCCAGGTTCCAGATGTTGATGACTAAGAAGGTCAGCGTGCAAATTTGTGTATGGATTGGCAGGGCTGGAACGTGAAACTATGCCAAAGCCAGAATAATGACTGCTTCTTGGAGCTTCATTCTCCCCTCTCTCAATCTCTCTAAACTTTGATCACCCCACATTTTGGGAGGAGAAAATACTCTCTTATTTCAACTATGGCGTCACTACTCATCTAACTTTACTGAAAATTATACCCGCAATTACCTGAAGGAGGCAGTATTGGTGTAGGAATCATTTTGGATTTTTCTCTCATTCTCAACACTCCTGGGCCTTGTCATTAGATGAACTCCTCACCTGAGATTAGTAGAAATACTTAAATTTAAAGTGACATTAAAGTCACAGATATTTTTCCCTCCCCCCAATGTTAATTAAATCACTTACCTTAAATTATGTTTCTTAATCCGATCTTCTTCTTTCCTGTCGTTTTCATCTGTCCCTCCAGCACTGCTCCGATCCAGCGTTGACTCCTCTGAGCTTGCTGGCACTTCCTGTCCCACGGTGTCTGCACGCTGTTCATATACTTACCTTGTGTCTCTCCTAGTCTCCCGGCCGAAAATGTGAACTGCGCATGCGCCCGCCCCAAGATGCTTTGCGGCCGCCCGAGAATTTTCACATTTTCAGAACGGGAGCGCGCGGAGAAGACACAGGTAAGCTTAAACCGCTTTTAAAGGGTTTTTTTTTTAACACTTTTTGCATATATCTAGTTTGCTAGCAGTAGATATATGCAAAAACACCGGAGGGTTTAATAACCCTTTAGGAGATAACTAGCTACTTGTCTAGTGCCAGACATTAAAGACTATCTCCTTAAAATATAGAAAGTTTGAGGAGAGAATAAAAATCTCTTTCTACATAACACTGAGGATGATGTAATTTGTGCGAGGAGTGTGGTTAC